CCTCTCCCGGGAGGCCTCGGTGTGGAGGGAGATCGCCTTCAGAAGCCTGAGGCGTGGAGGTGCATAGGCCACTGTGCCCCTCGGAGTGTGGGGGGGCCCGCCCCTGGGCCCACTCCGGCCCCGCCCCGCCCCCCCCAGCCCTGCTCTGGGCCCCTACTGGCTCTGGCCCGTGACCCCCGCTTTCTCTGATCATAAAGTGGCTTTAATATTTAAAAACGACTTTGATACTGAAAATTTCAGGCCAGCAAACCCTGCACAGTGGCGCTGCTCACAAGGGCCCCGGGGTTCGCGCTCCCCCCCAGGCTGTGGCCCGTGGTGCCAGCGCACAGGCCCTGTGGTGGTGCGGCTGTGAGCGGGTCCCCCAGCCTGACGCCGAAGCTGGGGTTCCAGCTGAGGCCCCCGGCGCCGGGGGCGCTGTGGTCACGGTACGTGGCCGACATGGTCAGTGTCCGCCCGCCCTTGGGCATAAAGCAACCCGGTGGTCGTGCTTTGTCCCGCGAAGCTCCCCAGCTGGAAGCCCGCCCTGACGCGAGGTCTGACGTCACTAGTGACGCCGGCCAGTGACGTCAAAGGGTCCGTCTTCCCCAGCAGCCCGAGCAGTTTTATCTGGTGCGTGACACTACCTGTGGCCCTGGGTCGGCCCACCTTGCCCCGCAGGAGAGCGGCCCGGCGGGGGACGGGCCAAAGGGCGGCGGCGCTGGCAGGGCCCCTGCGAGGACCGGGGGCACGACCCCACGGACACGGGTGGGGGGCTCGTGGCCGGGGCTGGCGTGGGCGCTGGGGTGAGCTTCCTCCCGCTCCTCCCGCGTGCTCCTCCGGGTGTGGCTCCTGCCCAGCCCTGCGCCCCTCCCCGCGTGCTCCTGCCGGTCGGGTGACCGCTGGGCGGGCCCTTCTCTGCGGTGGCGCGGCACTGGCCTGGGGCTGGCGTGGAGGGGCTTGGGGGTGATGGGCCGGGACCGGCAGAGGCCCCGCCTGCTCCTCAAACCCTAAACGTGAGGTCACGCTCGGGGACACCGCCTCTGGCTGCCCCCGTTTCCTGTGGGGACCAACGCTGGGCCGAGGCCACTGACCTAACTGCCCCTTGCAGGAGAGCGTGGACCTGGGGGAGGTCATGTTCTCCCTCTGCTACCTGCCCACCGCCGGGCGCCTGACGCTGACGGTCATCAAGTGCAGGAACCTGAAGGCCATGGACGTCACTGGTTCCTCGGGTAGGCGTGGGGGAGGGGCGCTCGGGCCTGTCTTTTCTCGCTCCTCGTCCCTCTGTGATCCCAAATCACCAGTTTTCAGGGCAAATTCTTTGGAAAGTGTTATCAGGCCAAACCGGGGTGCCGTGAGGCCGCGGGGTGCCCCTGTGCGCGGGCTGCTGCTCACCCCCGCCGGCGCCTGCT